GTAGAGGTGGTGTTCCTACCCTAACACCACTGCTTCTATCCAGCCTCTTGATCAGGGTGTAACACGCATCTTCGAGGCATATTACACCCGACGCTCCTTTGGTCGTATCCGTATGCATGGATGAAGACCCTGCATTACCAACATCAGTGAAGCATTCAGTGAACTCAAACCAGAGACAGTGAATGCTTGTTGGCATACCTTATGGCCTGAGTGTGTGAATAACTTTCAGAGATTTCTGTCGATAGTAAAGAATGTGAATGACATTGTGAGTGTTGCACGTCAGTTGGGTGGTGAGGGGTTTGTGGACAGGGCTGTTAAAGACCTGGAAGAACTGATTGATGGGCATTGAGCAACTTACAGAAGAGGATTTGGAAGAGTTGGTAAAAAGTGCCAATGAAGATGAAGAGGAAGATATTATGGAATTACAACAAGAAGGTTGGAGCTTGGAAAATTTTGGTGAACTATTTTGTCGGGTAAAGATGGTGAATGATTTCATTGTTGACCACAACCCTTTCATGGAACAACCAGGTATTGTTTTCCTATCAGGAAATGTTTAAAAGACCTGAAAGCAAAGAAGAAACAACTACCAATCGCCATGTTTTTCACGAAAGAACTTGTTACTAATTTGCCACTCCACCCTCCTCCTCCCAGCCACGCGCCCGCCTCCGGTCGCGCGTCACTCCACCACCCGCCTCTTCAACAACTACCACTGCATCGCCCTCTTCCACCAGTGATCCTGATGATCCACCTATGCTTCAGTAACCAGATGTCTCCCTATGTACAATGCATCACTTCAACAAGCTCCAAACTTCCACATCAGAATGTAAGTACAGTATTGGTGACTAAAGTTTGTCATACACAGTACGTATAGATATACAACCTGTATATTAGTGCAGTTAGGTATTATATAATTGGCTATTCTTGGCTTCGTCAATTCTCGCCATTTCTTGGAACCTATCCCTTGCAAATAGCAAGAGTCTACTGTACAGTGGTCTCTCGGTTAACGAACACAATTCGTTCCACAGAGTCGTTCGTTAACCAAAAATTTTGTTAACCGAATCCATTGTTTCAATGGAATATTGGGTAGTGGTACCAGCTCACAGAAAAGTACATACAAAGTAAACAAAAAAATGCAGCAAAGTACACTTACTTTGAGGTGTGTATGTAGAAGGTTCCTGGTTAATGATGATGATGATGGGAATTAGAAGTGGGGTTGGAGGGAGAAAAGAAGTGGGGATGGAGGGAAAAATCACCTTTCAGGGGACCCATGCTTGATGCAGTAATTTCACCAATAAAATTTTAAGTTCACTAGGTGTAATTCAAGATTATTTTATTTAAATCAACACTGCACTGTGCTATATATTATCAATATGTTAAAAATTTCAGAATGACCAATAATTTTAATGTAAAAATGCAAAAATATTCAAGACATCAACAAAATCGATGTTCACTCCACTGTAAACAAAGCCAAACTGGCGCCTGGTGGGTGAGTCAAGCGGCTGATGGGCGCACGAAAAACTAGTTCCCTGTGCTGCATATATTATCAATATGTTAACTAAATTTTAAAATAATGAATAATTTTAATATAAAAAATGCACAAATATTAAAGAGCACAACTTTCTTGATATTTACTCCACTGGAAACGAATGTAAACATAGAACAGATTACTGAATTGGCAGACTAGCCCATCAGCTGATGCTCACAACAAAACTTGTTTTAAGTAAGGGATTCGTTAATCAAAGTTTTGTTTGTTAACCGAATTCTGGATCCTTATGGGAGGTAATTCGTTAACCGAAATTTTGTTAATCGAACCCGTTAACCGAGGCACCACTGCTCCTACCGTAAAATACGATAGTACTGTACTGCATTTTTGGTGTTTTTTATGTCACTACTTATCATTTTTTATACATTTAGTACATTAATCGTTATTATTATTATTGAAAAATTAAACAATAACCATGACCCCTAGGAAAGTGTTTGGTATCCATAAGGTGGTGAGAAGGTTAAGCCTAAGACCTTATCAGTGAACTAAAAGTAATTGTACAGTTATTTGTGTAGTAAAGCCTCGAATAATGACGTTAATGTGTCCTCCAATATTGCAGTGTAAGGTGAATCGTCTTATCGCGAATCATTAATTACCATTAAAATAAAGCAATAATAATGAGATGTGTTCCCAAGTGTGACCTTTTCATATCTTTTTGTGTGTCTTTTACCCTCTTTCCCCCAAAACAATACAATTAATGAAAAATGAAAACTATATTCTTTAAATAATGTTTCTGAATGCACCTTATACAATATAAATGAATAATAATATGGTCACACAAGAGGAGATGGGATGCCATTGTTTTTAGTTAGTGTTTACAGCCGGGAGTCCGGGACGATAGTTCTACAAGAGAAAATTAAGAAAATAAGACCCTGGTTATGGCTGTAGTAAAATTAATGTAAAAAAATTAATATATATGTTTTAAGTAATGTCATTTAATGTTAATAAATGGAACAATAGAAGTAGCTAACCACTAATGGCAAAGGAAAAAAAAGAGATGGATTGGGAACGTAACATATACGTGCGCATTTAAGGATACCGCGTCATTTATCTTTTTAAGAATACAGGTATTGTATGCACAAAAGATTCATTATTGTTTATTACTGAATATGTATTTGATTGAATTAATGTTTATATATGTGAAATGAACAATGCAATTCATTAATAATACGTGGGATATTGAAACACACGAGGAACAAAGACGGCATTGTTTTTGCAAGTGGCGATGGTTCTACATAAGAAACTGAAGAAAATAAGACCCTGGTTGGAGCTGTAGTGAACTTAATTTATAGAAATAGAATACCTGTATGTATGTTTTAAGTAATGCTATTTAATGTTAATAAATGGAACACTAGAGTGGCTAACCACTCAGGAGGTAAAGAAATAAGGCGAGACGATTGGGAGCGCAACTTATGAACAGTAAGTGCATACATGCGAAAACCTGCGTCATTTCTCAACATATGAATATAAGCAACACTTATTTACTGTTCATATATGTTTTGAATAATATTTAAGAATGTAAAACTAAAATTCTATTCACCAATGGCGGTAAAGTCTAAAACATAAGGACAGCTAATGAATATTGTGCAGGTTTTACTCAGATGACAAAGTCATGAGGTTCAACTCTGGCTGAAGCTGTAGCTTTCCATAAGCTGTTGCTGAAACTGTTACTGAACCTGAAGTTGATGTTGAAGCTGCTTATGATGCTGAATTTGATGGTGTAGCTGAAGTTGATGGTTTAGGCCTTGAATAATAAAGCTCTCGAAGAACCTTGCACAGCTGCTTTCTTTTCTCATTATACATCTTTATGTGGAGGTCATTTGTGTTTATTTAAATTTTAAGGCTTTGTTCTGTCAATGGATCCACTTCAGAAAATATGTTAATTGCTTGCTCCATATAATATCCACAGACTCTCACCTTTTACATATCGTTTTAACACATCTAGTTTCGGCTAAGCATACACTTTCTATTAGCTTTTGAACCAACATTACCATCACTTGCTCTCTTGCTCATGTTGAATAGGGATGCAAAATGCTGTAAGAAACCTGAAAGTTTTCTCCAGTTCCTGTTCCAGATGCGTGAAAACAAAGGCCCAAGCTCAGAGTGTTGTTTACCACTCATTAGCAAGGCAGCTTCTTTGTCAAGGTGCTATTCATTTTTTAAGTATTTTTTTTTATAATACATATCAGGATTTAGTTTTATTTACAGTGACCCTCGGTTAGACTCAATCCGTTCCAGAAGGTCGTTAGTTAACGAAAAGTTAGATTATCGAAACCATTGTTTCAATGGGTTTTGGGTAATGGTTCCAGCTCACTGAAAATTTCCTAAATTCAACAAAAAGGTAGAAAAGTTCACTTACTTTGAGGTGTGTATGTAGAAGGCTCCTGGATGATGATGATGATGATGGGATTTAGAATGGGGGTGGAGGAGAAGGAAGAAGAAGGCATTGGGGTGGAAGAGAAGTCACCCCATGGTGCCATTCACCCATAAAATTTTAGTTCTCTTGGTGTAATTCAAGATTATTTTCTTTAAATCAACACTGCACTGCATTATATATTGTCAATATGTAAAATAATTTCAAAATGACCAATAATTTGCTTGGAAACACAGAAAAAAAAGCGTTTAGTTGAAGAGTCTCAAGCAAGATGTTACCTGCAGTGAAAACAGAGAGAGAGACTAATGCCTGTTTGCTGTGTTAAGAGGCTGGATGCGGCGCATTAAACTAGTCAATTTACCTTCAATTATGTTCAATAATTGTTAAAATGACTAAAATAGAATATTAAACTTTTAAAATTATTGAATAGTATAAACTTCTTGATATTTACTAAAATAGTAAGGAATTTAAGCCCTAGAACCGATTAATGTATTGGCGGACTGATACTAAAGCTGGTTGCCCGGTCAGTGCAAGCAAAAACATGTTGAGTCGGTTCGTAAGAAATTCGTTAACCAAATTTTGTTTCGCTTACGAATTGAAGATTCATATGGAAGGCAGTTCGTTTACCGAAATTTCGTTAACCGGGCGTTAAGTTAAGCGGTCACTGTATATGAAAATGTAATTTTATTTTATTTTTATTATATTTTGGTTGTAAATACGAATGAAATAATTATGTAAACTGAATCGGGTCCTAAATTATCTAGGGTTTCAAATACTAAAAGTTGTTGGACGAATCGTTGTTATCCGAGGCTTTACTGTATTACTTTTTAAAATTAATTTTTATTAAAAAACATGTATTTCTTTCATAAAACTTGGATACATTGGTGTTGTACTCGTTTTTTTGTTTAAAATGGCGGTCTTTTTTTATTACTTGCTCTAAGGTGGACAACCTATTATCGCGAACACCCTTTCCCCCCAATTAGTCCGCCTTAGTGAGGTTTTACTGTATACAGGGTATAGCCAATATGTCTAACTTACAATGTTTATATTTTTATGTTGGTAATAATTACAAGTTTTCCTCAGGCATTACAGACTAAGGAGCTGGATGGGTTCTTTGACCAGATGGTGTCCTTCCAACTAGCCATGGACCTGTTGTACAAGAATGAGAGGTACCAGGACGTGTTGGACGTGTTTGATCTACTGCAAGACAAACGTATTTGAGGTGTAAGGTATCCCAAGAACTCCTTCACTATTGCTGTAGCGGCGTGTTTCAAAATGGTAAGTGAAATGAGTGAGTTGACCCACAATATCTCAGAGTTAGAAGTAAAGTAAACCCTCCATAACTTGTCCTGGATATGATCTCGGAATGTATTAGTATAACTCGGGGTTGCCGAGATATATAAAATTATCTGGGAAAAATCTTAGCATACCTACCATGCTTCTGTGTCACCTACTATGATGCTTCATTCTTTGCCTGCAGTGCTGGTAAGTGTTACTTTTTACATTTAGTAATTACATGTACTGTACACATATATGAGCTGATAATTTTTTATGGTTGTATTTTTGTAGGGGGGGGGTGCCTCGATAATGAATTTGGGATAACTCGGCAAGGCCAGAGACCCATATGTGCCGAGTTATCAAGGGTTTACTGTATAAATGTCTCCCATCGGCACAAATTTTTAGGCTAGATTCTAAAAATTTGAGTGGTGAGGAAGAAGTCAATATTATAGAGAATACTGTACTGTGTAATTTATACTACAGTACAGTATATATAAAAATATTGCATTTTATAAACTTACAAATACTACAGTTAAAAGTTTCTTGTATTGTTTCAAATATTCAGTTTTAAGGAGAAACTTTAATCCCGTTCACCTGTGATTACTGATGGTTTCAGATAATAAAGCAACATTTATAGTAAGAAACTTATTTTTATACAATATTACTTTGATGACTTTTTAGTGATCAATTGAGTTAAGAAACTTCTATAAAATGAATGTGGTTGTTGGTAAATGTGTGTCTCATAAGCTTTTACTATAGTGTTTGGAGGAAGTTTTCTGTACCTCTGTTAAAGGGAACATCACCAATTACTTTCACAACTTCTTGTTTATTGTACTGTAGTTAAATAATTTGATAATGAACTATACAGTACATGTCTACTTTTACACTACACCAGAAAAGTTAGCAAAAGCTCTCAAGATTATATGGTGCATACATTATATAGTTTGGTATAAGTACTGAACACAGGGTGTAAAAAAAAGGACTATTTAGATGTTTTATTGCAGAAAAATTACACAAGGTAGCAAGTTTAGTGATACATGGATGGAAAGCTTACACCATGCCATTTTCAAATCACTTATTATATTGTTTGTAATTGACATTGTCAATGTGTGATCTGCCTCTGTGCAAGCAGGCTTTGATCCTGACTCAGAAATTCTCCACAACTCATCTGCAAGTGGCTGGAGTGGTATCCTGACGGTAGTCCTCCACCCCGTGCTTCAGGACAGCCAGGGTTTGAGGTTTGTTGGCGTAAACTTGACCTTTGGCAGCACCTAAAAAACAAAACAAATTCATTGGATTTAAAACTTGGCTGGTGGAGCAAGTCAATGGTTTTACCTGCAATGTGAGGTGGGTCACTGTCCTGCATGAACCATGCAAGTCTGAGTTGGGTTGGAGACAGTAGTTGAGCGAGATCAAGGAATCAGTGCACCTGCACATAGGATTTTGTCTCAAACCAAAGTCACGATTTCCACTTTTTGTTCCCCTGTGAACAACACCACAGTTGACGTGAGGGCCTACTGATTACTTATTAGAAATGGTATACCACCATCACCACCATAACCTGCAGGAGAGAAGGGTATAGCAGAAGAAACTACAGAATATCAGGCTGCTCAAATACAGTAGTCCACTTTTTTTTAACACCCTGTACACATTCAGAGAAATGAAGAAAGTTCAACAATAATATTCAAGTATTTGGTGTGCACAAAAATAACATGATCCACTTTCTTGTTCACTTACAGAACACTCAAGAAAGCTTAACACAAGTAATGAAGTTGCTAGAGAGTGCAGAGGAATGGTCTCGTGAAACCGCGGCCACACATTGTGTTTATAGCTACCCTCGCTAAACAAAACCATCCCCACATTGCCCTGGAAATGCTGTTCAGCAAACTCTGTTACTCACATTGCTGTTCGCTCTATCAAGGTAAGTTGTCCCAGATGACCCTGACAAGTTACCATTATTTCGATGGATCTTATTGTAATGAGGGTTTGGTTATGAGTAGAAAATAAATATTCCCTTAATCATTGTAGAGGGGTAGAATGTAAGACAAGAAGATGATGTGTTAAGTTAGGTTAGGTTTGGCATACTTTTTATTTGTTCTTCCTGAGCTTATGTATAACAGAAGATGATGTATGTACATTTGGTTCCAACAATTTCTTGATTATTATTATTATTATTGTCATACTGAAAAATCTTATCCACAGCAGCTCTTGTAATGTTAATACTTAGACCAACGCACATGTGATCAAAGACGTATTTCTCAGTGGCCCTCCATGAAACTTTATAGCCTACTTTCTATGCTTTTTTATCCATTAAGTTATTATTTAACTTGTACAGCACTTTTTGTTTATACCATAATGGTCTGTGACTGTTACTTAACGATACTAATCATATAATTTCATCATCATCATCTTTTTATAAAATTCCACAGTTGAATTTGATCAATATCTTACCTTCTGTAATAATTACTAAAAGACTTCTGCCTTTGAACTATACAACAATTATCATATCGTGGTAAGTTTGTCTCTCACACTTATTTCTCATGTATGTGTGCTGTCAGTCCAGGTATATTAATGCTCTTGGGTTTATGGAGATGCTCTCCAGCTGGATGCTCGAGATCCGATTGGTCACTGACCTCACTGCTCTTGACTGCACCACCAAGATAATTATACGTGCTGAGTCGTAACAAACTTCTATTTGAGATAAAAAGGTGGGGTTTGTTGCATTAGCATTGAAATAAATATTCACAAACAATTTTATATAATTAATCATAATAAAATAATTATTTCTATACATACATGTGAGTAGAACACAAAATTTTTGTTTACACTTAATTAAAATGTTTATACATCTCTATTAGCCCCTGTCTTATAGGCAGAAGTATTTTTATAAATGGGTTAATTACATTAGACTTATATACTCTATCACCCCCTGTAACTAAAGCTGCCTCCCGAAAGTTGGGAATGCTGTACGATGTCAGTGCTATTTTCTACTCCTGAGCAGTTGCTCCAAGTATATAAGGGATTCATTAAGTCTCCTAACTTGGAGTACTGCTCTCATATCTGGGGTGGCTCTTCGTCCAACTATTAGATAGGGTGAATCAAAGGCATTTGGTTATTAACTCTCCTTCCTTATGGCAATCTCTCTCCCTTTCTCTTTGCCGCAATGTTGCTTCACTCTCTCTCTTTACAACTTTAACGGGCAATGTTCAGTGGATTTATCCTGTGTACACCCGGCAAGGCCGTGGTTCGCTACGTCTTGCCATGGTGCCACCACTTCTTCTGTGGATGGTCACACGAGAATAACCCGTTATAGTACCTCTTCTCTTCCTCACACAGCCAAACTGATGTTTCCGTATGCACAATCATTCCATTTTAAAGCTGGTTTTCTGGCATCTTTGGTGTAGATGTAAAATCCTTTTTCTATATTTTCAATTTTTTCCGTTCTTTTTTTTTTGCCCCCAGGCTCCGTTGTGGTCGTTGACTGTGCCCGGTGGGCTAATCCATAAAAAAAAAAAAAAACCTTTCACTAGGCTATGAGGCTCATGTTCAGAGCACGTGATAAGGTGTGCCCACGGGAAGTCCATAACTGTATGTTGAGCTAAAGCATTATGACCGCTCCTCGTACCTATTGCGGGCAGTAGTTTGATAACCCTGACTAGAGGAAGGCGTTATTTAGAGCCATCATGGATGGTTCCGTCTTCCCTCGAGGGAGGACGTCGGATATATTCCGTTCTCCCTCGACGGGTCCTTACTCTTTTCACATCAACAGACACAAAATCACCAAAGGTAGAGAATATATTTATTTTCCCTGTTCCTGTGATAGTTTGAAGTTTTAGTTACACCTTTATACTAGAAATTAGTGTTACAAGGGTGACCAGTCTACAGTCTTTAGTTTCCAGTGAGTCAAGTGTACTCCAAGCAACCTTGACAATTCTCATAACAGAAGTTATTCGTCACACTGGAGTTGATAACAGTTGAGATAATCTGTTCTCCTGTTACTCATACTGTTATGTAACAAAAAAATATAAAGTTCATAGGGTGTGGCGAAAGGCAACCTGACCAATAACATGAACCAGTGTTTGCTTATCAATCTTTTATCTATATTTTAGTATGTCTAAAATATAAGGTAACTATCTTCTGAGTGGCTGTTTAAGTGGTGACGGCAGGAAGGTTGTTATGTATTTACAAGTTTATGTAACTGTTGTATTCATGGTAGACCTCAACAGATACACAGTTAGTAAAGGTAGAGATATTATGTTCTCTCCATTACTGTGTATCTGTTACATGGTCACTAAGAAGCATTTGTTACTACCAAGAAATGAAGAAGTTATAGGCAGCTGATCTACTGACCCATATATGAACATATATATAATATAACAATCACATAATTGTTATGTGTGACAATTGTTTGTTCCTGAAGTTTATTTTTTCTAAGTGCCCATGGATATATACCATCGTGAGAAGTTATATGTTGAGTGATCTTCATTTTGTCATCCAAGAAGAGGTACAAAAAAAAATTACAAATTCTGTAACAATTACTAAAGTTATTGACAGTTGCTGTATTATGGCAACACTCCTGAAAGCTGAAGTGAACATTAGTTCTGCAAATGAATTGTTCACTGTTACAGTTGTTGTGACTACTCATCAACCAACATCCTGTAAGCAAAATTCTCTCGTATGGCATGAGTTCCCCCAGTTACCAGCACCCCACTTAGTGAAGACAAGTGCATCTCCGACCACAAGGTTGTAGAGATTGGTGTCATCATTCTGAAGTATGGCATGGTGGATGCACTGGTGTACCCAGTGAACCCCAGACTTCTTGAGTTCACTGGCAGGGAGCAGCAGTTTGCTTGCTCAGGATTTTTGTGGACATTGACCCAGTCACCGGGACCTTTGTGTATCAGCTGTGTCTCCTGCAAGTGACACATTCAAGAATTTTTTTTATTTTCCAGAAAGGATTCTCCATGTCAAGCCTACAAGGAATAGGTATTTTACAGACATACACTATATTTATAAGCACATATACAGTGGTCCCTCACAACTAGACAATTCATTCCAGAAGGTCGTTCAATCGAAACCATTGTTTCAATGGGATTTTGTACTGTCCAGTCATCAAAATTACATACAAACTGAAAATAAATGCAAAGTACACTTACTTTGAGGTGTGTATGAGAAGGCTCCTGGTTGATGATGATGAATTAGGAAGAGTGGAGGAGAAGAGAAGGAAGTGGGGTGTAAGAGAAATCACCCCATGCTTCATGCCGCCATTTCACCCATTATAAGCACGGTGTAGTTCAAGATTATTTTTTTAAATCAACACTGCATTGCACTTATACAGTCAACCTCGCCACGCTGTCCCACATTCCGCGCTTTCACGCTACGCGTACCCCGTCAAACAGGAATGCTCACATTCGCCGCGCGTACCCTTTACGCTGGAGAGCGGCTGGTGAGCCGCGACATTTTTGGATCCAAACTTCCCAGCTATCTCCCGCCTATCCGCCATGTTGTTAAGCGGCGACATGAAGCATAAGGTCGCCCAGTCATCAAAACATTACCGGTTCTTCACTCAGCCACCCATCACAGCCGGCCCAAGTCAGTGGTAGTGATAATTAAGAGGATATGGACTTATATGGACTGAGGGTTGTTTGACAAAGAGGCCCCAAGCCTCTGTGGTGGATAGTGATACAATTGATACAAGTGATACAGGTGAGGGCCAATAATCTGCCCTGTTTAGAACCAACCGCTCCATCCCCGTGCCCAGCCATCTTTCTACTAATGTAAGTGTAAAAACCTAATATTATTGATATTTCTCTTAATTATTAATTGTGTGTGCATACCATCATAAGTTAAGATAATATTTTACTGCAACATAGTTGTGTGTCGTTAAAAGTGCAGTTTAAATGGTCTGCCTCTATTTCAATTAATCCCATATGTTATGTTGTTCACTTTAGGCTTTCATTTCGTGTACCTGTGGTTGAATTAACTGCAAGAAGTGAGGGTTGACTGTATATTGTCAATGCTTTAAATAAATTTCAGAATGACCAATAATTGTAATGTAAAAACGTAAAAAATAGTTTATGTTCAAGAGAGCCACAAGCAAGATATTACCCCCACTGACCATAGATACAAACTGACGCCTTGCTAGATGAGTCAAGTGGCTGTTTACGACAAAAGCTAGTTTCTTGCACTTCAATTATGTTAAGTAATTGTTAAAATGACTAAAAATTTAATATAAAAATCTATTGAATAGTACAACCTTTTTGATATTTACTCAAATGGGAACGAATTTAAGCCCTAGAAACTGATTACTGTATTGGCAGACTAATATTCCAGCTGGTGAGCAAGCCAAAACATGTTGAAATGATTTCATATTTAATTTTTGTTCGCTGACCGAATTGGAAGATTCTTATGAAGGTAATTGGTAAACCGAGGAACTTCAAATTGTATGTTTTTACAACATTATCACACTTAGCCGTGAGACTGTAATTATTTTTATTTTTTAGGTGTCTTATTTTAATATACTGTATACTGATGTAATACATTACCAGTAATTGTGATTGTGTAGTCTAATTTTTACTATCTGTTTAATATACAGTGATGTAATATAATTTCCAGTATTCATTTTTCACCTGTTCATCTATTGATACTTTTAATAATAATTAATATCAATTTCCTGTAAATGGATGGACAAGGTTATTTTGGAGGGTTTGTATCTAAATAATTTTTCAAGCCTTAGACGAGAAAAATGCGGATTTTTTTTATTTCCAGAAGATAATACTGTTAATAATGTTTAAACCGCAAATATGTCAGGTTAGTAATGTTAATAATTTTCAAACTACAAATATGATAGTTTTATAATACAAGTACGTTCAATCCGCAAATATGTCAGGTTAATAATGTTATTAATGTTAATGATGTCATAAACACATCTTTTCAAACTACAAAAATTATAGTTTTGTATTATCACAGACTGTAAATCTTCAGCCATACCGTGGAGAACCTCATTAAATTGGTACCATTGTCTCCTGCAGGTGAACGCTTTCTGGTCAAGAGTCTCAAGCACTACACACTCATTCATCCAGCGCGATTATAGTATCAAAAGTTTGTATATTGCTAAGAAGGTGCGCTTAAATGTAGCAAGATTTATTTCTGCCATGTTATTGCGGATTTATACCGTTAATGATCACTACTGTGTTGATATTGTTTGTAAGTCAGAATCTTCCAGTTTTGCCATTGTACATACTTTCCCATACGTATTTCAGTTTAGCCAGTAGGCTGTTCAACCCCAGGTGTCAACTTCTCAGTTTATGTTTACACACCATGCATGGGAACATGGATGGTATGCATCGGGTTTTCTCATGATTAGTTTATTCTCATGGAGCTTAGAAGGTATCGAGTCCCTGGTCAGTGCAGAAGTATTTTTATAAATGGGGTTACATTAGACTTAGATACCCATCATCCCCTGTAACTTTCATCAGCTATGAGGCTCATGTTCAGGAGCATGATAAGCACAAAGTCACTTCACTTAGTGCTGTCAAAGATTAAGTGACCGCTCTTCGGCACCTATTATGGCAGTAGTTTGATAATCTCTGACTAGAGGAAGATGTTATTGAGACCCATCGGATGGTTCCGCCTTTCCTCGAGGGGAGTGGTGTTGATATATTCTGTTCTCCCTCGATGGGTCCTTACTCACTCTCATATCAACAGGGCGTACTTACCAAAGCTATACATAACCTCCATCCACATTTAACACTCATAGCTACAGTGATTAAATTACGGTGATAATCCTTTTTGAAAGTGTACATAGAAACTTTTTATAATAAATGCAACAAAGGAACATTTTGGATTTCACTACAGAAGATCCATTGAACTTTTACATGTTCTAGTTCTATTAAATAATCGTAGAATCAACGATTAAAGGGCCAGTTCACATCACCTTATTCCTTGGTTATTTCATGATTGCACTATGAACTTTATTCCATTACAAAGAGTACAAGTTTAGCACAGTTAGGTAATGCCAGAAAAATTATGTTTCACAAGGTAGTACTGGTGTAAATTGTGTTCCGGATGATTGCGCCCAGGCCAAGCATAAATATTAATTTTTCCCTCTGAATGCAAAAGATAATTGTACATATTGAGTAAGCAAGCTTACTATTGGAGATAAAATGGTCGGATTTGTTTCATTGGCATTGTACATATGATTATCAACAAATAATTTTCATGGTTATCAAAGTTAAAATGATTAAATATATACGTAAGTGCTAGTATAACACAAATTGTATTGCATATTTGCAATTTGAGCCCAATGACAAATATTCCTCACTCAAAGTTTCTATATTTTTGTACATAAATTATACATAATGTGTGTTTATAAATATTTATTATTTTTGAAATTCATATGAAATAATAATTGCAAATTATTTTTTAACTATAATGCATAAGAATATTATTATTACAGTGATCACCGTTAACGAGCTCCTCGGTTAACGAAATTTCGGTTAACGAGTTACCTTCCATAAGATTCTTCACTTCAGTTAAAGACCAAACCCTCGGTTAACAAATTCCTTACGAATTTTTCCCAACATGTTTTCGCTTCTGCATTTATTGTGCACTGTTGTAGTATTAGTCCGCCAATACAGTAAGGTTTTATGGATTAAATTTCACTATTTTAGTAAATATCAAGAAGGTTGTACAGTACTCTCTTTATCGGTGATTTTTTTATCGGCGGTTTCACTTACGTTAGATTCATCACGGTGAGATTGAAGCGACGACGGTTGTTTATAGAACGAACTTCCGCCGATAAAGAGGAGTACTGTACTATTCAATAATTTTAAAGTTTTATATTAAATTTTTAGTCATTTTAACAATTATTGAACATAATTGAAGTACAGGAAACTAGTTTTTTTCTAGCCAAACAGCCGCCAACACACCAAGCTTAGGCCAGTTTGTTTACCAGTTCAGAGACTCTTCAACATAAATGCTTTTTTCTGTGTTTCCAGTCAAATTATTGGTCATTTTGAAATATATTTATATATTGATAATATATAGCGCAGAGTGTTGATTTAAAGAAAAATAATCTTTGAATTACACCAAGTGAACTAAAATTTTATGGGTGAAATGGCAGCATGGGGGCTTCTCTTCCAATTCCACTGCCTTCTTCTCCTTCTCCTCCACCCCTATTCTAATTCCCATCATCATCATCAACCAGGAGCCTTCACATGCACACCTCAAAGTAAGTGTACTTACTGCATTTATTTTTAGTTTTTATGTAATTTTCGGTGAGCTTGAACCAGTGCAAAACCCATTGAAACAATGGTTTTAGGTTAAGGACAACATTCTGGAATGAATTATGCTCGTTAACAAGGAACACTGTATTTTTTTTTCATGGAAATAAATGAATTTCTGTATTTACATGTTGTTAGATGTTGGAGCACTTGGTGATGTTCCTCCCTCTTCCCGCTCTTTCCTCTCCTCCTTTGTGCCCCACAGTGCTGTACATAGCATGAACAAGGCAACTAAATCTAGTTTTAGTGAGAGTACGGGTAGTGCACACTTTTGAGGGGGATGAGCGGTCACTGAGTAAGTCGCGCTGCGATGGCTGAGGTGCCACATGTGCAACACTTTCTATTTTTCCTTTTAGCCACAACGATATGCCAGGAAGTTCCTTTCACACTAGGACTGCTTATTGAAGGGCCAAGCAAAATATCACTTGCACTAGAAGGGCCAGGGACACTGGGAAATGTGGGTCAAAGTTACTTCCGGTGCTGTTGAACCACAAAGGGCGTAGTATGGTCACTCGCTTAACCTTGGAGGCAGTCTACATTGGTGCCGTCACACCGACATTGCCAAATGTGCATCTTGCATATCTAGCATTCATACACAGAGAATTATTTTATTGTAATTTTTTTAGTTCATTCTCAATTTTCGTATGAAACCCTAAAGTGATAATTTAGATCATACGCAAATTTGCATATGAAAACCCCAAGAGTGTTAAGAGGGAGTGACTTCTTTCTTCTAGTTTTTGTAGGTTGGCGTAAACAATCCTTGAGAAGGTCCCCTCTGAGGAGACAACAACAAAGCTGCCTGAACACTACATGTTTCTTTTTACTGCCAAATGTTGTAACAGTTGCTTATGTGTACAGGTGATGGCTTTGTGTGAACTGGGCAGTGGAGGACACACTGCCACTCCTCCGCTCACTAATACAGATAGATCTGCCCTCCACCAGTATACAAGGCCGAGGCTCCTGCATCATCAGTGAAGCAGTAATTTCCTTAATTTACTTTCTTCCAGTTATTACTGATACTTCTCACAACATTTTATAGTTTTAACAGTGCCCTCATAGAGGAGGAGGAACATCTGTGAGATTAGATTGTGTAAAACCTTGTAACTCGCCAATATTATGGAAGGGAGAATGGACGAGTTGACGGTTCTGGGAAAACACAAGAAATACACTCTGCCACGTTCATAGAGTGTCCGGTATATATATTTTGTAATAAAAGTTTAAAGTCCTGCTATAATAGTCGAGATAAGTTTATATCTCTAGAAACAGGGACGACATTTGCAATGACTTCACCAGTTTCCCAGCAGACGACGTTCTCTCTCAAACTCACCGCTGTAGTCAGAGGCAGTACAAAGGATGACCTCTTTATACCCCAGGTAAGGTTTAAGGGCGTTTTTTTATGGTCTAAGTCATGGATATTTCGTAAGTGAAGGAATGTGCCGTGAAGAGCAGCTTCAAACATAGGTACAGTGAGTTCTGCCTCGCGTGTTTTGATAACGCGAATTTGCTCTAACGCGATTTATGAATTAGGAACGATATTTGTATCTTGGAACGCTTGTTTGCCATACAGCGATTTTTTCTTACTATTTCTCCAATTTTGTGGTATTAACTGTGAATATGGTAAAGAAAATATCTCAAGCGTTCTGGTGATAGAATTCCGGTGATGATAAATGAAAGGATATAACACTTGAAGAAGGCTCGATTTTATCAACCTCAAAATCACCCTTCTCTCCCCATCAAGTTACATTCATATTTTTTCAAGGTAAAGTGTTACATTTCATTATTAGATATGAATGTAACATTTATTTAGACTGTGCTATCCTTTGTGTTAGGCTAACTACTAAATTTTTTTGATTTCGAGTAATCTGCACCTAACCCTATTTTCTCCATAAGCCCTGTTATTTCTATTATGCGATTTTCTATAACACGATATTTTACAAGAACACAATTATCGCGTTATAGCAGAACTACCTGTAGGATGGATATATGAGCGATAGTTTTGGTCATTCCAGTACTTAGACATGCAGACTATGTTTTTTTTTTATAGTTTGTGATGTATTATGAATGATTTAGACCTTTATTCCTATCAGAAATCACTACTTTTGAGTTACTACACCCCTCCTTTACTGATATATATTAAGCTAACCTTATAACTCATCATACCCTAAGCTAACCTAACCTAACATATGGTCTGTATTTTCATATGAAATCAAAAAAATACAGTAAGCTCTCGCTTAACGTCAGGGTTATTGAAAACGCGACGCTATACGAAGAATCGTTAAACGGATCAATTTTCCCCATAACAAATAAATAAATTACGGGAGTTATGTTCTGGCCTCCCTTTGACCCATGAAATACATTACATGTACAGAAAATCATTACAATTTCTAGATATGTTGTATATATATATATATATATATATATATATATATTTTTTTTTATATATATATATATATATATATATATATATATATATATATATATATATATATATATATATATATATATATATATATATATATATATATATATATATATATATATATATTATATCGACTTACGATGGGGTTGGGACCGACATCCAGGTCGTAGAAGTTGAAAATAATTGATGTGGGGTTTTGTGATATTATGTTGTCTAGCACTCAGGATGGATGGAAACTCTAAGGTGGTGGTTTTCTTATATAATATAAGTTATATGGTAGACAGTCTGGTGCTGGAGATGCCGTGTGGTGAGGCTGCTCAGTGGACTGCGTTCGGTGAGTAGCGTGTTGAAGAAGGAGGTAGATGTGCAGGACTTGTTGAAGATGTTGCCTGTTGCTGGCCTCCAGGTTGAATGAGAATGGGACAGCGGAGCTTGCTTGGAGGATGTGTTGCGTGTTCAGAAACAGGCAGAATAAGAGACTGGTTTGGTGAGGGCGCTCAGAGAAGGACAGCTGGTGGGCCGCCATGCTCCTTGGGGGCGAGGACGCCAGGCAGGCGGGGGGGGGGGGAGGAGGAGGTGTTGCGTGTTCAGAAGAGAGGAGAATGAATCTCAATGGAGAGACAGAGCTTATATACACAGCCGCGAGTAAACCGTGGAAGTCGCCGTGTCTTTGACTCCGTTGCTTGGTGTAATTCAAGATTATTTTTTTTAAATCAACACTGCACTGCATTATATATTGTCAATATCAAAATAAATTTAAAATTACCAATAATTTGCTTGCAAACACAGAAAAAAGTTTGTTGAGTCTCAAGCAAGATGTTACTCCACTGAAAAGACACAAAGACTGATTCCTGTTTGGTGTGTTGGAGGCTGGATGGGAGCATAAACTAGTTTCTTACTTCAATTATGTTTCAGCAATTGCTAAAATGATTTTTTAAAATCATTGAATAGTATAAACTTGATATTGACTAAAATGGTAGGGATATAAGTCCTAGAACAATTACATATTGGTGGACTAATACTACAGCTGGTGGACCGCCAAATGCAAGCGAAAACATGTTGAGGTTGGCTCGTAAGAAACACGTTGTCGAGGGATTGCTCGTTTGAAGTTAAGAATCTTATGGGAGGTAACTCGTTAACTGAGGGACCACCGTAATGATAATTAACGGTTTATTAAGATAACATGGCAGCCTGAAGGCTGAAAATATACAATGAACAGAGATGATAAGTTACAAAACAAAAGAACATAAAGTCAACATATAGATTAACTTAGATCTGGTACTGTGGGAGCTGATCTGTAGACATTATTATGACCTGATGTCAGCGCCAACAAAGTCCTTCCCACTGCCTTGATGGCCATTGTATTTGGCTGTTAAGCTGCTACCTCACTACAGTTGCAGATGTACCATGTGGTCCGGGAAGGTCCTCCAGCTCACAGGATGTTGGAAATGGTTCTTGTTCCTCATGTGATGTAGTTAGGAATTCATGGTTCCTCACCTGGGTGGAGTAGGGCGTCCTCATTTCTTTCCTGGTGTAGTTTGGAGTGTTTCTTGGCTTCTCATCCAGTGTTGGTGAGAGTATGGCGGACCCTGGGTGTCAGGTCAGCGTCAGGTCAACTCTAACAGTTGTTTCTCTCTTTTGAGTTGAAATTGTCACTTTTGTTTATCACTTGTGGGTTGATCATCAGTCTTTGCACTGTACTGTTGGTGGGAGGATGTTGATAAATCCAGATGGGGGGAGGAGGGATGGGAAGGGGAGAGCCCGACAGACCAGGCTGGCAGCTGTCTCCATGGTCAAGAGACCATGGCCGTGCCAGCAGGCAGCGCTGACTACATTCGTTCTTACCTATGAAGGCTGAAGAGGAAGAGTGTGTGTGTGTGTGTGTGGTGTTGGGGTGTGTGTGGGTGGTTGTTGGAGGGTGTGTGTGTGTGGGTGTGTTGGGGGTGTGTGTGTGTGTGTGTGGTTGTTGGGGTGTGTGTGGGTGGTTGTTGGAGGGTGTGTGTGTGTGGGTGGTTGTTGTAGGGTGTGTGGGTGGTTATTGGAGGGTGTGTGGGTGGTTGTTGGAGGGTGTGTGTGGGTGGTTATTGGAGGGGTGTGTGGGTGGTTGTTGGATGGTGTGTGTGTGTGGGTGGTTGTTGGAGGGTGTGTGTGGGTGGGTGGTTGTTGGAGGGTGTGGGGTGGGTGGTTGTTGGAGGGTGTGTGGGGTGGGTGGTTGTTGAGAACTAAAATTTTATGGGTGAAATGGCACCATGGGGATTCTCTTCCACCCCAATGCCTTCTTTCCACCCCCATTCTAATTCCCACATCACCATCATCCAGGAGTTTTACATACACACCTCAAAAGTAAGTGTACTTTTCACCTTTTTGTTGAATTTAGCAATTTTCGTTGAGCTGGAACTAATTACCCCAAAACCCATTGAAACAATGGTTTCGTTAATCTAGTTTGGTTAACGAACAACCTTCTAGAACGGATTGTGCTCGTTAACCGAGGACCACTGTATATTATACACACACACGTTTATAATAGTATATAAAGTGAAGGGATAATGTTATAGGTGAACACACACACACACACACACACACACACACACACACACACAGTGTTTATAATAGTATATATAAAGTGAATGGATAATGTTAGAACACACACACACACACACACACACACACACACACACACACACACTACTACTACTACTACTACTACTACTACTACTACTACTACTACTACTACTACTACTACTACTACTATACTACTTTGCTGTCACTGAATCGAGTATGACGATCATCCAGCTATGATCAATGATATGAGTTATTAAGGATGTCGCCTTCATTGGTGAGTTTGAGGTGACTAAAGAGGCCGACACGGACTGGCAGAGTTGTTCACAGATGTTGCCCATGTGAGGGGCTACATCTACTGGGAGGGGCAGTGGCAGCGTCCTCCGACGCTTTACGCTTGTCTGCATCGGTTTGAAGTCGGGCTTACTTGAAAGTATTGACACTTTCTTGTGTGTGGTGCTTCTCCAAGCATTATGGTATGGAGTAATTGACTCCCAGGTGAGGGCTATTTGGCACCTCAGGTTTTTCTTAAGACTATCTTTATATCTTTTCAATTGCCCGCCGCATTACGCTACTATTTGTTGTGACTGTAAAGTAGCTGCTTTGGCAGAATACTGTCCATGCGGTAACATGGCCAGCCCAACATAGTTTTTCATGGATAATGGTAGCCTCGATGCTCCTACAGTTGGTGTCAGCAAGAATACTGGCATTTGTTCTCCCAGTGAACTCGGAGGATGGAAGATAGACTACATTGGTGAAAGTTTTCATGCCTTGAGGTGCCCTGTATGTGACCCATGTTTCATTGCCATATAGTTGGGGGCAGGACCACTGCTCGATATACATGCAGCTTTAGGATAATTTCAGCCCCTACAGCTGAAGACACGACAGTCCTCCCGAGCTTGAGATGCACATCTGATCCGGATCATGAATCTCTCATCGATGTTTGCGGTGGTGGACAGGTGGGAGCCGAGATACCGAAGGAGTCAACATTAGAGAGGTAG